TTTTGTTTCTTCATTTTTTACGTGATAGATCAATTCCTTATATATCATATTTTTTTATGTATAAAGAGATTTCGACAGTCGGACCAGGATTTGGGCAACTTCTCAATCAGAACATTGGCTTGAAGAATTTCACACATCTCCATTTCTTCGAGTAGGATATCCGAGACTAATTTCTAGTAGGAATGAACTTTTTCAATTATTGGCTTGTCCTCGGTCATTTGAAATTTTAGCTACTCTTTAACACATTTTTTTATTATTGCATCATTGATTCCGTACTTTTTTTTCATAGTTTCCCAGATTAACTTGGTAGATTTGTCTTTGATGAACAAATCAAAAAGACTATTAGTCATGTGACTGAGCATATAACCTCTAACCAACTTGTTGTCTCTTTGAAATTTGGCTAGAATGGCAGTATCTGTATTGTTGGGACCGTCGAAGGAATTGTAGCTTCAATAATGGCAAATGGGTTGAACATCACATAATCAAGCTCTAGTTGTTTGAAGAAGATGACCATTCTTTGAGACCAATAACGATAATTGATTTCATCTAGGGGCTCGAAGTTGGATAAATCGGAGATGTATTTGTTGATAGTGAGAGACATGTTGAAGATAAACAATTTATTTTTAAATTGTAAGAAATAAGCTCTGAAAAAAAAACGAATTAGTAATGTCAATTACAAAATAACCAAACGAAGAAGAAATTGTTATTGGTCGTGATAGTCCACTACTTTAGAAGTGGACTCGTTCCGACCAATACAATTGCAAAGTGAACGGTCATTCCCAAGATTAACATAACCCTCTTTGATTTGTACATTCGAACGAAAAAAATAAAACTTGTTGATTGCTCTTTTCTTAAAAATCAAAAGACAATTGAAAAAAATAAATAATAAAAAAAAATCGATCGGCTAGCAAAGGTCAAAGGGAATAGAGCGACTGCTTAACAGAGAAAGAGGATTGGAAGATGCTTTAGATGAGTGATGAAGAATGAATAGCAACCTTCCTTATATAGACTTAAAATAGGGACATATCTGAAAGAAATCGATAAAAATATCCTAATTGATTACCCCAAATCTCGTCATAAGATCACAACAGAGTTTAACTTCCAAAATTTGAATAAATAGGAAACAAAACTAGAATTTTATATTTAAAGATTTCATTGATCTTGAGTTTGTTAGTACTCACATTAAAATCTTTTTTTTTTCTTGAAATTTTTTAATTTTGATAGTTTACTTCATACTTGATTTTATAAATGCATATTTATCATAAAATCTTTTGAAATTATTAAATTTATGATAAAATAACAGATAATAATTTTTACTTATATGTTTGATTTTTAGTTTATTACCCATAGAAGTCTATTGATTTTTACTTTATTAGTATTCACAATAAAATCCTTTCTTCTATGAAAATTTATTTTTATTAATTTACGCACGAATTAAGTAATTTTTGTGGTAAAGAAATTGTTGTTGTTTCTTAAGGTCTCGAGTCCAAGCATCATGAATGCTAATGGTATAAGTGTTCAACGTCAAATGGTTGAAAAAACATATTTACCTTGTATTTATTTTAGATTAATAAAACTTTCTTTTATTAGTTCACTTCACAATTGATTTTATAATTGCATATTTCATTTAAATCTTTTAAAATCATTTAATTATTGATAAAATAACAAATATTTTTTTGATTAAGTAAAAAGATATTATGTTATCAAGATAAATGTCAGAATTCAAATCCATATATAGGAAATATGTACATTCTTAACCACTTGATCAATTAATTAATCTTAAATTTGATTTTTACTTATCTTGTCATAAGAAACGATCAAAACAAAAACTTTTATGAATAAACATTAAAGAAAAATGAATTATTTAATATAACATACTGTAAAAGCTTATTTAAATATGGATGAGTTGTTTGGTTTTAACGTAAGTTTTTTTTTTAATTAATCATCGGTATCCGATTAAAAGATTTATTGATCGACTAATCTAGATCGGGTACCGCAGAGATAATGGCAATCCTCCTAACCCAATTTGCTCCATTCGCAAACACTAGGATTCGAACCTCTGATCTTACTTAAAAAACCTAATGTCTCATCCCATTAGATCAACTAGTTATTGGTTAACTTAAGTTTATTAAAAAGGAAAAAAGAATAGAAGTTGAAAGCACATGATTACAATAAATGGAGTTGGTATTTAATCCATCAAAGGCAGCATGAAAATGGGTAAGGTAGGAAGGCGGTGAAGAGAACAGTTACTTAAATGCCTAAATCTGCCTGCACATGCAAATCATCTTTTAATATTCCTAAACTATAATTCACACTCACCTTCTGCGTTTCTTTCCACATCTTAGCGGCAACTGCCCCCTCACCTTCATTCTCTCACAGAAGAAAAAAAATATTCACGACTGTAATTCACTGTACGAAGTTGATTACCTTTTTATTTGTAGTAATATTTCGTATTAAATCTAGTAGTTGACACTTAATATCACGACTTTCAACACATTGAAAACAAATTATTTAATATATACTGAATGCAATTAGGTTATACATCAACCAATTTTATTTTTAAAAAATTACTGTCGAGCATCCGTAATACAATAATAATAATAATTTGGATACAAATATGAGATTCCTAGTTATCTCAAGAGTTGCAACGATATGAGTGCACTTTATATCATAGACCCTTTGTATGTTTAATTGTTCTCTTTGTTCATCATAATCAACAATCTTGACATTCAATTAACCTCTTTTAATAATTATTTTCTTTACAAAAAGTGACTGAGATGAAATATTTCATTAATGCCACTATAATTTTAAAAAAATCTAAAATCCAATGTCATTATTAATTAGGAAAAATGATGGTTTACGTGTTGGATCAAACTCTAATATTTGATGTCAAAATATAATAATTGAAAAAGATAAGAAAATGAAACCTCTGAATCCCACTATGCCTGAATTATACTTTAATCCGGGAATAAAGGACACAATATCCTCTTGGGAAATTGGAGGACTTCCAAACTTCCTTTAAACTAGATTAGTTTTATGATGGAAAAGGAGAAGAAACGACCTGCAAAAAAGAAGAAGAGGAAACAATTTTAAAAGTGAACAAACAAAAAGACACCATTGCTTAAACTAGAGAGAACAACACTCATTTTAACCATTGAGGTCGGTTGATGAGTCATTTGCTAATAAACATTAACACTATATTAAAGGGTATATATTATACGTAATATTCATTTAATGCATTTAAATTTATAAACAAGCTTATAATTGTTATATTGAATATACGTGACAATTTTGTGTTGTTTCTAGGCGGTGCGAATCATGTTTGAAGTTGATTTTATGAGGGGGATCATAGCTTGCCCAATTTGGTTCCAACAATGAAAATGGGCACATTGGGAGCACAATTACATTTTTTTGTAGACATTTTCGTAACTGGTTTTGCTAATCAGACAGCTCCTCTATACCTCAAAAATCTTAGCCTACTGTATAATCTTGCAGTGCTGAAATTCACTAAGTGAGAAGTCATAGGTCATTGATTTGAATGATCAGTCCAATTTCACTGAAATTGCTAGAAGCTAGGATCACAAGGCTGTGCAGCCAATTAACTCACCGGCAGTGTCCCCATATTCTAAGGGAACGTATACCTATCTAAAATCCCACTGCATTACTATGACTTCTTTTTCTTTCTCGTGAAGTCATAATCAGCATGATGAAATCACCTACGTCCATCAAATATTCCTTGACCCCATCATTTACGCTGGAAAGGTATTTACTCATTTTCTCCTTCTCATTCTTGGCAGAACCCATTTTGTAGGCCTAAGTTGAGACTGGAGTAATTGGTCACTTAGCATTTGGGCCCGGCCAATAAATAAATTTAAAAACCTGAATACTAGATTTTGTATATTCTCTATGTGGTGTGTAAAATAAAAAAAAAGATAAATATTTTGTTTATTTTGTTATTTTTGATCATATAATAATTGTATATTTAAATATATAATATTTTTTATGATTTATTTTTATCTTTTAAATTATCTTCGAGATGATAATGCTAATAGACAAATATTCCCAACAATACACGTCCCTATTCGGCTATTTCTCCATTTTAAAATACAAAAATCAAGTCATTAAAAGTGATGGGGACGTTCCAAAGAATTTAGCCTTTAAAGTTTTAGGGTAAATTACACTGAGATACCACTGAAGTTTAGGTGATGTATAGTCTACATATAGAACTTTCAATTGCTTCAATTAAACCATCAAATTTTTATTCAATTATACCACTAACTTGGTAACGATGCAACGACGTGGATGCCACATCAAAATATCATTATTTTAATCGTACTATCTTGATCCAAAATGATGTCATTTTGATGAGAAGAATTAAAGAAAATCAGAAAATGCACCTGACATTTTAGTGGGCTATTCATTAGGGCGACTTGCAAACGAAACATGCAAATGAATTAGCCGGAAAGGGTCTTGATTTTTATAGCCAACTTAATGATTGGTTGGGCCACATACAGCCCAATCCCCTGTCTGGATTTGAGTGCTAAATTTAATTTAGTTTTGATAAAGCTTTCATGTTGCTCAAGTATGTAGATTTAATTGTTAGGTATTAATTGAAATTTTAATCAGTTTAATTTTATTGTTCGATAATTATTCATTGATTTAAGGTTGTTTAGTATGTGGATAGCTTTATATTTGTAATTGATTATGGTAAAGTTTTCATGTTCTTTAATATTTGGATTTAGTAGTTTAATTAAGTTGTTACTAATATATTATTCAATTAAATTATTATTTAATATATATTAGATTGAATTCGTGGCATAAACTAATACCAATATTATTAGAGAAAAAACCCCCAAAATACTATAATTTTAAAAACAACAAAATATACAATTGTAATAAATGTTTCTATGGATAAAAACCTAGAGTTACAGTAATACATGCAATCCTGCAGACAGACAATCGTATATTCGTATACAGTTAAACTAATATTATGCCTATGAATTAAAGAATCTCAATATACACCTGTAACCTTCTCGTATCTTGTATCCCTTCAGATTCTCCGAGTCAAAAAGATGACAACAAACTCTCCAAATAATCACTCCCCAGATCCTGAAACTCAAGTATATCATATCCATCCTCTGCAATACTTGCCGTCCTCTTTATATTAGGCTGCTCAACCATAAGAAGCTCACTGTTTTCCTCCCAATCTCTAGACTCTCTTTTCCGATGACTTGTGAAATTCTGGCCGAAGCTGGGACCTGCGCAAGCAGATTCGTTACGATGACAGTTAGTTGCAGGCAAACACCGGTTGACGTTAGTTATTGTTTGATCGATCCCCATAGCCTTAGCTACTCTCTCAAGTGGGAAGTTAAGATATGCCTTGGGGCCTCTAATTCTCAAAGCAGCCTTGTCGTAGGCCATAGCTGCTTCCTCAGCTGTGTCAAACGTCCCAAGCCAAACTCGAGCTCCTTTCCTCGATGAGTCCCTTATCTCTGCTGCATACTTACCCCAAGGCCGCCTCCTCACCCCCCGGTAGTGTCTCGTTGCCAGTTTCTCTACTCTCATCGGATTCGCTTTAAGCCCTCCGGTACTTATGTCTTTGACGGTTATATCGTTACATGATTGGTCTATGTTCCGTGGAGGAATAATTCCATCCAGAAGATCCTCCCAGGCGTCAGCTCCCATTGATATCCACCTCCCAAGACTTGGTAGCCTTTGTAAAATCTCCATGGATCCGTCTCTCCCATCCAGGCTAGGCAGATCTTCCCAGGATTTGGACGATGATTTCGTTCCTCTATCGGCTTCTTCTCCACCAATGAAGTTGGCCCATACGTTCTCCAGTAGTGACTGATCATCTGCTTCATGATGACCGCTTTCTACAGCCATCTTTCTAAATCCGCAAATAATAGGGTTTTGAGAATTGAGATATGTATATAACCTATAAATACTTTTAATTTCTATCTTTATCCTATCCCATTAGCGAATTCCAGTTGGAAACTTGTGCTCTAAGCGACTGAGGCGTTTAATTCATGGACTGATTTGGAATTCAAACAATAAAGAAGGATGTGGAATTGTGTGTTGTAAGGCTCATGTGGTTGGTCTAATCATTTGGCGGCTTAAGTTATGGAGATACCTGCACTTTGTCCGTCCTATAATCCATGATCAAGAACCCGCGGAAGCAGGAAACTGAGGAATCAATTGACATTTATACTGTTTAACAATTGACTTTTGCCATTTTATATTACTATTTAAAATCTTCAAAGACATAAATTGCCTCGGTTTCATACTTGAATTAAGCTCTAATTTCCCAGATAAAGGCTTAACCTGTAGTTTAAGCTACCGAAACAGCAAGGATAATGGTTATATATGTTTGAAGAAAACGAGGGTCTGAGTTTTTTTTTTTTGGACACACATCGTATAATCACTTCTTAAAAATGTTTGTTCCCATTGAGATTAATTACAGGTTTATGTTAATACTTGACACCCCATCTGTTGCTAAGCATATCTACTCAAGTGGAATGACTTTATGGCCATCCAAGAAATCTCATGCCAGAAGTTGAACCTTAATCACTGAAAATTAAGAACCCAACACGATTAAGCATATCTACTCAAGTGGAATGATTTGTGATTGTGAAGGGAGCAAATGTAGTAGTTTGCAAAATCCAAATTTTCTTGAGATCCAAGCATTGATATCCTTAATTAAGGAACAAGTTCCATAATAAAAATAGAAGGCCACACGATTCAACATTTTAAAAAGAAGAAATTTTAAAGTGGAAAGGGAGGAGAATTAAAGGGTTAATTAAAACCAAAGAAAGATGGGAGAGTGTTATGCAAATGCGGCGGGTAGGATTCGATGAATGGGGAAGAAAGCTTCAGAGACAGATCCTCTGTTTTGAAAATTGGATCGGACCGGCCGGTTCAACCGGGAACCGTTGCTTAGTCCGGTTCAATTTAAACCGGTTGAACCGCTATTAGTGAACCGGCCAGAACCGCTGAACCGTTCGAACCGGACCGGCTGAAAACCGGAAAAAACCGAAAAAAATGGGAAAAACCGGGATTTTTGTTTTTTTTTTAAAAAATTAAACCAAACAACGTCGTTTGTTAAACGAACCAAGTCGAACTCGAGTATTGCTGAGCTCGACTCGAACTTGAAAACTTTAAAAGTAAGCTCAACTCAACTCAAACTCACAAGCTAAAAATTATCAAGTTCAACTCAAACTCGAAATATAATATTGAAACTTGAACTCAAAAAGGCTTGAACTCAAAAAAAAAATTAGAAGCTCGATTGAAACTTAAAATTCGAGCTTGATTGAAGTTAAAGAATAATTATATAATTTTGTTATGATTTTTTTAACCTCAAATTTATTTTTTAATTATAGTTATATAATTATATTTATTATTTAATATGTTTTACCTTAAATATTATGTTGTACTTAATTTGAATCATTTTGTTTCACTTGATTTTATGGTTTTTAACTTATATATGTTATGACTTGCTTTGAATATGACTTGTGATATAAAAAATTATTTTTATTAAATATTTTTGATATTTTTATTTAATTTTTTAAATAATTATGACGTCATCCGATTCTTCCGACCGGTCAGACCGATTCGATGACTTGCTTTGAATATGACTTGTGATATAAAAAATTATTTTTATTAAATATTTTTGGTATTTTTATTTAATTTTTTAAATAATTATGACGTCGTCCGATTCTTCCGACCGATCAAACCGATTCGACCAGTTGAATCAGTGAACCGATAGCATGACCGGTTCGCTAATCGGTCCGATTCTGAAAACCATGGACAAATCAACGGATTTGATTAATGGGTTCAGGCGCTATCAAATCATTTGACTTTTGCATCCTTGGTTCAACCATTATTGTTTAATTCTTGATAAATACATATTCATTTATTTATTTATAATTAATATTCATTGATTTGTAAAATAATTTTCCCATTTTTTATTAACATTAAATGATTGACTTGTGGTTAAAAAATATTATTCGTGGCGATAAATAAATTATAATATATAATTTACTCAATGAATCATGAATATATTTATTGATAATAATTAAGTTCAAAATACATTTGTATGTCACTACCAATTCTTTGAAAAAGAGGTATTTCAGTTAATAATCGCTTTAAAATTATATATTAACATCTCGTATCTAATATATATATATACATATATTAAAATTATTATAACAACTGCATTAATTTTTATAAATATTGAAAACAATATTTTATTATTATTAATTTTATTAGGATACAGTAAACTTATTTTACTTATAATAATTTATTCTTACCGTCGTTATTAAGTTTCATTTTACAACATTCTTATTTTAATCATATATATGTGATTGTTTTTATGGACTACTAATTAAAAGATATATTAACTTTCAAGCAAATTGGTGGTTGAGTTCAACCTTCACAAGGAAAAGAATAAGATGCTTCAATCTTTTGTTGAAAATGGTGGTTCATGTGTCAACATTTAAATTCTTGCAGCTTACCACAAACTTTTACAAATATGCACTACATGCCATAACATATGTATTCTTTTTAATCTGACATATATGGAACTATGGTGTTTATCGAGCGAGTCGATGGTGAATTAGATAGTGCTCAATCTTTATTTGAAAATGGTGGTTTATGTGTCACCATTTAAATTCTTGCAGCTTACCACAAAGTTTTACAAATATGCACCACATGCCATAACATATGTATTCTTTTTAATTTGACAGATATAGAAATATGGTGCTTATTGAGCGAGTCGATGGTGAGTTGGATAGTGCTCAACTCGTGCTCGTTAAAAAAATTATTGTTCAACCCGATTTGTTGTTCGTTAAGCTCATTAAAATTTTGTTCGACTCGTGCTCGTTAAAAAAACTTGTTGCTAAACTCAATTCGTTGCTCGTTAAACTCACTAAAAATTTTACTTTGTTCTTTAACTATAGGTAAAATCTACTAATATATAGCTTAATATAAACATAAATTAAAAAATTTAACTAAAACAAAATATCGAAGAGTGTATGAAACAATTTCAAGATCTAAACTCCAAAGTACAAATCCACAAATACACTAACTAACATATTAAAATTAAGGTATCAATCCACAAATACATCAAATTAACATATTAAAAACATTTTTGAGAAGAAAAAGAAGTTCAACAATACATAATAAGTACTAAAAACAAGGAAATCAATATCTTTTCACTCCATTGTTGTTTGTAATCAATCTATTAAAAAAATATAAAAAAAATTAACGAGTTATTCGCGAATTTATTGAGTCAAGTTGGACTTTGCTCGAATTAACTCATTAACTCGAGGCAAGTTCGAATTGAACTTTGATAGAATTTTAACCGAGTCGAGTTCGAACAGCTCACGAGTAGCTCAACTCATTAATCATTCCAAGGAATGACTTGTACAAATTAAATTCATTGTAATTATTATAAAATTTTCTTGTCTTTTTATGTAAAGACTTGAACTAACATTTTTTTTTACTAATATGTTAATAATTAGGTAATATTATCTGTTTTTATAATGATATTGGGATCTCTGTCAATTCATATATAAGGGTCAGTGAATGCTTTGACCTCAAATTAATACAATGTCATTTTAGTCTTTTCAAAAAAATTAAATATTATAATATACCCTATAATATAATAGTATAATTATACTATTAATCTCATCAAAAACTACTAATTCTATACTAATGGGAGTTGATTTAAGTGATAAGTAACTTGATATCGCTTTATCAGGTTGTGTATGCAAAAAATTATCGCTAGAAAACTTACCCATCACAACCAAGTGTGCGACCTAGATCAATCTAAATTAGTTAAATCAAACTTTGGAACAAGGAGGGAAAAGGAAAGCTGTTTTCTAAAATGAAAAGTTGGGAAAATCACATTATTCTCTCCTTTTTTAGAATTTCTCCCATTAAATTATGCTTTCCATATGAGGGGCACTTGCTTCAACCGCAGAGTGGAGACACTTCGCAGTGGCCCATAAGCTATTATGGCAATACATTTTCAATCCGATTGGCTTGAAAATTTAGCTGTCTGTCTAAATATTATTAATAACTTTAATGTTTTTGGTGATGAATTCTTTTGGAAGCAACTAAAAAAATACAGGAATCTGCTCAGCAAGCACCAGCGTTTGCCCTCCCCGTAGCTCACTGCAGAAGGAAACTTCCTAGTATTATGTTTATGGATCATCATCCTCACCAATTCTCAACTGTTTTTTTATCTTCTCGTGTTTCCTCCTATCAAGTGGCTCCACATCTTTAGTACTAAGTATAAAACATAATATATATTTGATATTGAACGTCCCTTCACTAATTGGTACCTACCATCTTCTTATAGTTAATGTTCAGTACAATATAGTTACTTCTTATGTATAACATATTCAGCACAACTTTCACTGACTAATTTTGTGAAAAGCCCCTTTCTAGTTAATTTGGAAATATTTTCTGTATATTTAGTAGTTGAGAAGCTTTAGACTTATCTGGAAACGTTAGGTTTCCAAACTGCAACAACCAAACTAAAATAGAAACAGTGACGAATCGCACTGTACATTGACTACGCTGGTTTTGTCGAGAAACTTCAGCTGGTTCTTGAGCCTGGCCCAACTTAATTTTAAAAAAAAATGACACTCGCTAATGGGAGTGTATATAAAAACAAGCTTATCCTATATGCTCAAAAGTCATAAATCAGTCCACAATATATAATATTGCTCAATTCCGAAAATCAAAACTATCTGGTCACATGGAATCTCATGCATATTATCTTCCTTTTCTTGCTGTTTTCTCTCTCTGCATGTCATTTTTTTTCGTTGCGGATGTTGAAGCTTCGACATTGCAAGGCCCTTCACAACAACATTTCGTCTGTTTTTGTCTTTGGAGATTCGACGGTGGATCCTGGGAACAACAACTTTGTGCAGACCCTCTTTAGGAGCAATTTCCCTCCCTACGGAAAGGATTTTAGAGGCCAAACTCCGACCGGAAGGTTTACTAACGGGAAGCTGACCACCGATCTCATTGGTAGGTTGATAATTATTCATTGAAATGAATCGTGGTACTTGGTATTCTTTTATTTTGGCACGTATGTAGC